CATTTGAACAATCCGCAATCCAGTTTTGGAACTGACGACGGAGTAACGGGACGTGCTAATATCACATAAATCGGGCAAGTGAGCCGTTGTGCGGTGTTGCTACTAGCAGTATCACGTCTCCCATGTGGTCTAGTGGTTAGGATTTCTGGCTTTCACCCAGGAGGCCCGGGTTCGATTCCCGGCATGGGAATGTATATTTTTATACCATAGGAATAGATGCATTTCAAATACAAAATTATTGCTCAGCACGAGGACGGTAGGTCCTGGCTAGTTATTTTCTATTGACTCTTTGAGTAAAGTGTGTTTTGGTTGAACGTGGTAAAAGCTCGTCGTGCTTGTCTCTTGCAGCGAGCATGGCCCCGCTACCCATGGCGCTGGGCTGCCTCCTGTCCGGGCTCCTGCTGGACCGCCTGGGCCGGCGCCGCTCGCAGCTCGTCATCTGCGTGCCCTTCACCATCGGCTGGGTGCTGCTGGCCGTGGCGCGCGACCTGCCCGCCATCCTCGGCGGCCGCTTCCTCACCGGGCTGTGCGTCGGCCTCGTGGGTACGTACTCGGGGCGCTGACCTGGCCCGAAGGCCCACCCGACGCCCGGCCCCACCACCACACTCACACCCTCTGCCCGCCTCGCTGCAGGGCCCCCCTCGCTCATCTACATCGGCGAGACGGCCGAGCCGGCGTACCGCGGCCTCCTGCTCGCCGCCATCTCGCTGGCCGTGGCCGTCGGCATCCTGGTGGCGCACGTGCTGGGCACGGTGCTGCACTGGCGCCTCACCGCCTGGCTGTGCGCGACCGCGCCCCTCGCCTGCATCGCCTTCCTCTGCCCCTCGCCCGAGTCCCCCGTCTGGCTGGCCTCCAAGGGCAAGCTGGCCGAGGCGTCCAGGGCCTTCAGGTGAGCGTTAGCAGCGGTGGCCGACCCGCGCAGGAGCGTTGCGTCAGCTCGGGTCAGTTACTCGGACGAGCCTTGGTCAAGTTCAATGCGGGAGGCGGACTGGCCTCACCGGGGTGCGGCCTAGGTGCGGCCGTGCCCGGGCCGGCACCAGCGCACGCACAGGCGCACAGGCCGACGCACTGACCCTGTGCGACAGCTGAGCCCGACCTTAAGCCACAAGCCGCAACGACGCCATACGAGAACGGGTCGCAGATGTCAAACGATACATTCGCGCACCCCTGACCCTGGCATGTTCGCGTGTTTCAGGTGGCTGCGGGGCTTCGACGAGGCGGCGTCCCTGGAGCTGCAGGGCCTCCTCGCGAAGCACGGCGCCGCGGCCTTCCCTGAGGGCGCCAAGGCCCCCGGGCCGCCCCCGCCTACCGTCAGCAGTGAGGTGGCTGCCCTCCCGCTGTGGCGCCAGCTGCTGCACCGCTCCTTCCTCAGGCCGTTCATCATCATCGCCACATTCTTCTTCCTCATGCAGTTCAGCGGCGTGAACGCGGTCGCCTTCTACACGGTGAGAGCTCCTCCTGGTGGCCCGAGCGCCGGCAGCGTAGGCAACCCAACCGGCAGGCATCGCGAACGAGCTGCCTATAGTCGCGGCTGCAGCAGGCCGCCGTGCTTATCTCCGCTCGACTGACTGCCACCACTGACGTCCTGTTTCTCGGGCCGCAGGTGAGCATCATGAAGGACGTCGGCGGCGGGCTGGACGAGTACGTGGCCACCATCATCCTGGACGTGGTGCGCGTGCTCATGTCGTGCGCCGCGTGCGTGCTGCTGCGCCGCGTGGGCCGCCGGCCGCTGGCCGTGCTCAGCTCCGCGGCCACCGGCGTGTCCCTCATGGGGCTGGCCGCGCGCCTGGCCTTCGGGGACCCCGCCAGCCACGCCTGGATGCCGGTGTCCCTGCTGGTGACGTACATCACGGCCGTGTCTGTGGGGCTCGTGCCCCTGCCCTGGGTCATGGCGGGAGAGGTGAGTTCTTCTGTCAAGGATGTAATATGGACACCTACACTGTAAATCTGGGGTGTCCAGCAGCTGTGCGCTCAAAGTCGCACGACCCAGGTTTGTGCGACTTTTCTCGTACAGTTGCTGGACACCTTGAGTTTTGCAAAGGGTCCAGGCCCAGCCTCGGTACGGTGTCCTGTGCTTGGACACCCCTTGCCGGGGCCCGTCTGCGAGGAGTTCGTTTGCTTGGCCCATGGTTTCCATGTGGTTTCCTGACTCGGTGGATGGACCTATATGTCTCTACCGCCTTACCGATCGCGCCCTCTGCCTCCCCGCAGGTCTTCCCCGGCAACTTGCGTGGACTCAGCGGTGGCGCCACCTCCGCCCTCAACTTCCTCTTCTTCTTCGCGGTGGTCAAGTCGGGGCCTTCCCTCTTCGCCACGTTCTCGCCACCCGGTGCGTTCGCCTTCGCCGTGTACGGTAGCGTCGCGCTGTTGGGCTCCGTGTTCCTGCTGCTCTTCCTGCCAGAGACCAAGAACAAGACGCTGCAGGATATCGAGGATGAGATGGCGGGGGCGCGTAGACCACGGGCGGACGGCCGGGACAAGGCCGGCTTGCCGGTGCCCTGAGATGGACGGGGTCATCTTCACCTCGCTGAACGTTGGAGTCTGCCCGATCCTGGTGACGACTAAAAGGACCGGGACTCGGGGAGACGGTGCTTAACGGTGCTCTAGTGGCGGCAACCGTTGCCGCAGCCACTCATCTACGCACCTCAAACATATCCCGCGCTCGAACGGACGCTCTTGAATCGAGCGTGGGGTATGGCCGGGACGATGTGAACTAAAAGAGGAGGAACTTGGCTGTGACTGAGACTTCAGCTTGTTGGATGGAGATGTAGAACAGTGCCAAACGCATATGGCGTGTGTGTAGTACAGGGCGGGCCATCGGCACTGTTCTTTCCTCTGGTGATACTGTACCGGATGCAGGCGTGCGAACTGGTTGCATACTTGCACGGGGCCGTGAGGCGTCTCAGTCAGCTACTTTAGGCAGCGGCCGCCCGCACGCCTGCATCCGGCACATTAGAACCAGAAGAAAGAACGGCGCCGATGGACTACCCTGTACGATACGGAGCTATACCCGATCATTCAACTTGAATCGGACAACGGGTCAGTGGACCAGTGGTATACTCCTTGGTTGAAATAGTAGCTGAGCCCAAGTATATGTATATTGTATATAATGCCCTTATTTTATACTTGTAATATTTGTTTTAATATGATTGTACTTATTATTATTATTGTAATCTCGTACTTAAAATGAAACCGATGACTCGTTTATGTCTGGTATAATTTTTTTTCAACGGTACGCCGTCTATTCATTGTATACTACGGTACAAGTACAGGGTAATTGGAAAAATATTATGGTGAGCGTGACATGTATTTTCCAAAAGAAGTTAAACTACAGTGTCGCGTCGTGGCCCTAAAATTCCACGCGTCTCTCCTTTCTCCTCCCAAAGCAGGACTTCGGCTCGCGTCCAAACGGGGTGTCTATTTCGGGGCGACGAGAAGATGCTGCTGTTGGGGGTGAACGGCCGCCTCATCGTTCCGGATCGAGAAGGGGTTGAATTTCTTCATCCGAGCGCCCCCAGCCCCCACCAACGGCGGGCGTCCGCATCACGCCTCCACCACGCCGGAGCCACGCGCATCCTCGTTTGCGCCCAGGATGGGGGCACCGCTCCCCGCCACGCCCCGCCAGTGAATGTTCCAGAGCGATGCAGACGCATCCCCCCGGCCTGCTCCGCCATGCCCGCGCCCATTGACCGAGTTATTCGGGGAGAGCAAATGAATATGTCTCCACGACCGCGCGCATCGCGGCGCGCGTGGCGGCTCGTGACAGCTGCACAACAGCTGACACATACTCTGCGGCTGTGTCGAGTTCTGAAATACGCGTCTGGTGTGGTATAAACATAATTAAGAGGTCGTTAGCAGCGGTACACTCTTTCCTCCCAATGTTCCTGTAAGTACGAGATGCTCTTATAGTAGGCCTTCGCCAAAAACCAACCGAAGCACAGAAACCACTGGTGAAAAGTGAAACGGGCGCGTAAGTCCAATGAAAAGTCCGCGGACTTACGCCCTTTTCAGTTTTCGCCAGTGAAACTACGTACATCGGCGGCCTTATCGCGAGGCTCCAACGTTTATCGCCGCGCGAGACGAGATGTGACCTTTCCCAAAGGAGGGGGTTCACCGCGGCGCGACCCCGCGGGGGGCGTGTGTAGGGTAGGGTACCCGCTCGCGGTGGAGGGGGCAGCACGTGCGCGCTATCAGCTCCGCGAGCTCGCCAAGTTCGACAACCACCGCCAAAGATCGGGGGAATGTGGATTGTGGATGTGGAGGCCCGGCCGGCGGCGGCGCGGCGGAGGAAGGACGCCGCTCTTCGCGCGCCGGGCGAACAAAACAAGCAGCAGGCGGTGCTCGCGTGTGCGCGCACGAGCGGGCCGGCCGGACCGCGCGACGCCGCTCTTCATCCTTAGTAGTGGCCACACTACTTCATCCACAATATCGCCAGGGAAATAAATCTGAAGGGTATACCCCTCTGGCCGCGTGCGAATAGGCAACCCGCACGCACGTCTAGTACAGGGTGGTCCACAGATACCCCTTCTTTTATTTTGCTTATGCTGTACCGGATGCAGGGGTGCGGCCGGGTTGTATACTCACACGGGGTCATAAGGCGCTACGGAGAGCTACGGTAGGCAAGCCCGCCCGCACGCCTGCATGCGGTACAGTATAAGCAAAATAAGGGAAGGGGTCTGTGGGTGGACCACCCTGTATACTCATTTTTCTCCGACGGGGTACAGCGACCAACCACCCTGTATATGTATGCGGTGTACAGCATAGCATAACTGCATAAAATACAGTGATCCGTGAGCCTTCCTGTTTTACCCTTTGTTTTCCCAACTCCCATTTTCAGGCAGTCGAAGTCACTAGCATCTTATCGCTCGGAGGACCTTGATTGAAGGTGGTCGACAGGTGGTCACGGGACGACGAGGATGCCGCGGCG